CGTTGTTGGACATGGATGCAAACGACTGAGCATTGTCCAGATTGCAATATCGCCTCCACTGCAAGTAGCTGGGAATACCATGGTCTCTGCCCATTTGGATAAGAAAGGCGGCCATGTCGATGCCATGCCCAAATTGTCCTAAAAGATGCAGACCTTTCTGGTTCTATTATTTTCAGCCCAAAAAGGAGCCGTTTTACTCATAATGTTCAATCAATATAGCGGAGCGTAGCGAAAGTTCAAAACCTTTTTTAAAGGCATTCTTCAATTCTGGAGTGAGGTGTAATCCAGGCTTCATAATTGGTGTTTGTGTCAAAAATCGCAAAACGGCATCAAAGCGATTCCTTTGATAGATAAAGGAAGGCTCATTGAAGACCTTAAGTAAGTAAGGTAGACTCATTGAAGACCTTAAGTAAGTAAGGTAAGTGAAAGCGAAAATAGTATGTCCATTGCTTACCTTTCCTAAGGGTTCATCTCGCTTGTGATTCCCGAAACTATCAGTTAATGAGATATGATCAGGGAAAAGAGCAAGAAAAAATTGTCCTACAACTGATGCAAACACGTTCAGCGTTGAACTATCGATTTTCTACAATAAATGTAAAAATGTTCAAAACCTTTGGAATCCTAGACAAATTTCTACGCTCCTACCATATCGTACCGACTGTCGTATCCGTTTGTTTGCAAATCCAACGAGTATCTCCGTAGGTTATCCTTACCAACTATGATAGGTACGAATTCGTTATAGGTAATGTGCTGAATTTGCGCGATAACAATCCTTCGTGCTTCTTGAAAGAGTTTCTCGTCGCTCCATGTAGGATTTACTTCCTAGAATCAATTCGTGCGTGTTCACACAATAGCTCCTTATAATAGCGATAAGCTGTAAGTAACTTTATTTTTTATTTTTTGAGTGATAAAATCTTTCCCTGAGTGTGTTCTCCTCATTTTTCGAAATCGATTAAAGATATATATATATATATTTTTAAAGGAGCTTTGGTTAGCTTTTGAC